GTCAGATCAGCCGGGGCTGCCCCTGTCTGCGGATTGGGGCTCAGGTGTGAGCAGGTTGCTCCCGCCGCCCCCCGGGGAGCAGCTTCCAGGTGACATCACACATTGCACCTCAGCCCCACCATCTTCAAGCCCTTTACCCTCCCCACCCCGTGCCCCAGGCGCGTTCCCAGAACTGTCCACCAAGACCACGCTCACCCCGAAGCCAAACCACGTCAGCGCCCAACAGGGCCCCCACTTCCGGCAGCCGGAGGACCACTCTGCCACCTCGTCCACACTGCGGGCGCCATGGCCCTGCGTCACCTCCCCGACCCCACACCCGAGCCCCACTCTCTTCCCAGACCCGGCGGCTATGCCTCATCTCAGCCGGTCCCCATCTTGGCTCCGTCCGAGGGCCCCCCCCCATGTGCAGGGACGAGGAGTCCAGACCAGGAGCTGGGGAGGCACCCCAGGCGGGGAGAGCTGCTCCCTGTCCGCCAGAGGGAGGAGCCAGCCGGCCTCAGGTACCTGCCCACCATCACCAAGGCTGCCCACGCGCCCGCCTTTCCTGGGCCCTGTTGCTCCCGACCGTCCACCGGTTCCCACACCGCTCCGAGGACCTGACCACCCTCACACGCTCCCGGTGGCTGCCTGGGCTCCCCGGAACCCGCCGACCCTGGATTCCCCAGGACGGCCCTGCCCCACGCTGCCACCCCCAGGGACTGCCTGACCCTGGATTCCCCAGGACGGCCCTGCCCCACGCTGCCACCCGCAGGGACCTGTCTGACCCTGGATTCCCCGGGATGGCCCTGCCCCACGCTGCCACCCGCAGGGACCCGCCTGACCCTAACTGAGCGAGCCTCGCTGACTCTGGGCTCTGGTCCTGCTCCCGGGCCCCAAGCACATACACACTCGGCACAGAGCAGCGGGGGAAGGGGGGCGACGCTAAGCAGACGTCTACTTCCAGGGAAGCGCCACTCAGCACACGGGCAACGGCCACAGGACAGGAGAGGAGACGGAACTGAAGGCAGCATCACGAGACAGCGGCCTTTAAAACACATCGAGAGGGCCCGGCCGGCACGACGCCGTGGGTGAGCGACGATCCATGACCCAGGAGGTCACGGTTCGAGTCCCGGTCAGGGCACAGGCCCGGGTTGCGGGCTCCATCCCAGTGGGGGGGCGTGCAGGAGGCAGCTGATCTGTGATTCTCTCTCATCATGGATGTTTCTCTCACTCCCTCTGCCTTCCTCTCTGAAATCAATAAAAAAAATTTTTTTAAATAATAAAATAAGTAAATAAAACACATCTCGAGGAACTGGCCATCACGCCCAAACCCAGCCCGACACCCAGGTCTCAGGACCCCGCTTCGCTCGGGAGACAATGGAGCCACCGTCCACCTGGGCTGTGTCCCTGTGCTCACTGCAGGACTCGGTGAAGCTGGGGGAACTGAGCATTTTTTCATTAATAGTCACTGGAAAGTAACCGTAAACCTACTCATGTGTCTTCGTGGACACATTATGGAAAAGCCATTGTCTTTCCCCAACTACAGGGGGCGCTCTGCCCCCGGGGCCGCCTCTCCTCTCCCACGTCCAGGCGCAGGCGGCTGAGCCCTGCCTTCTATGGGCTGGGATGGCCCACCTGGGTCCTCTAGAAACCCCTCCGCCCGCCAGCCCGCCCAAGGTGAGAGAGCGAGGGGGTGAGGGAGGAGGGCAAATGGCCCCTCAGCTGGACACGAAGCTGCTGAGAGCGTCTGGGCGGCCCCGAAGGCCCAGAGCAGCTCCGGGAGCCTTGTTCCCTGGGCAGCGGCGAGCGGTCCCCAGGGCCCCGGGCTCCAGGCACGCGTTATGGACACAGCGGGTGGGGAGGGGCCCACGCTACCTTCAGCTCCTGCTTCTGCTTTAGCTGCTGAATCTCACCCGAGCCCACTGTGCTGGCCACCAACTCTCTCATCTTTCTCTCATAGTGCGCCTTCACCCGGGCCAGGTCATGCGACAGCTGGGCACAAAGAGACACATCCTTTCACAAAACGCTCCTTTTGGAACTTCAGACAATCTCACATTGAAAGGGCTCCCGGGAACCACACCGCCAGCCCCCTGGCCGGCCCACTGACTCTCAGAAATAAACACGCGTGATTGCAGCCCGGCCGGCGTGGCTCCGTGGTTGAGTGCCGAGCAATGAACCAGGAGGTCACGGTTCGATTCCCGGTCAGGGCACATGTCCGGGTTGCGGGCTTGATGCCCCGTGTGGGGCGTGCAGGAAGCAGCCGATCCATGATTCTCTCTCATCATTGGTGTTTCTATCCCCCTCCCTGGCCCTTCCTCTCTGCATCAATAAAAATATATTTAAAAAAATAAAAATAAACATGAGTGATGACAACAGCGTCGAGACAGACGCGATCCCAGGTGAGCCGGCCAGGAGAACTGTCTATGCCATGAGGGCAAATACACACAGAAACCTGGGCCCAGTCACCCCATCCGTCCTGACGAGGTTAAAATGACCAGATCTGTGAGGTCTGCATGAAGGACGCCTGTACGTCATCACCAAGCGAAGAGCCTTGAACACGGGCCTGCAGGGGCCTGAGTCTCCAGGGGAGGTGACTCCCTCTGCAGCTGGTGGGGACACAGTGGGGTCTCACAGTGTGACCACGCGTCCACGCTATGCCCACGGGGCCCCTGCTCCTCGGGAAGCACGCCCCACAGAGGCCGGACGAGAACACAGGCAGTCATTTCCGATGGAAAGGGCGGCTGTGTCAGATGCCCTCCCGGAGCTGACAGTGCCCTTGTGTGGTCCTCAACCTGACTTCTCCACCAGGAGGCGGGTCCTTCTGTGGCACCGCCCCCTGGAACACCCCTGGCCGCCCCTTCCCAGGATGTCGCCGTGGCAACGTGCTCCCGGTCAGCGTTGTGCTGGCCTCGCACTGGCTTCTAGCAGGGAGGCTGCTGCTCCGGCCAACG